AATGGCTTCTGCCTGGGCCTAGTGTTCTGGCTAGTACAGTAGTTGTCACCAAGAAGTACAGTATGCGCGCTGCTTAAAAGGAGTCATGCAAATACATACCTGTTTTGGGTTTACCACATGGAACTGCCAGGACAGCTCCAGCAACGGAACATGAACTCCTTCTTGTGTGACAATCTGGGCATACAGCCTCCACATGCTTGTTACCAGCTTCCTTTTGTGAATGTATATCAACATGGATCCAAAGAAAACAAATTCTGGCTGGCTTCTACAACACCCGCATGCATAGGGTTATATTCGGCAATGAGTTGTGTTCCCCCCAGTTGAAGGACGGCGCGCTCTCTCTCTCTCTCTCTCTCTTTGTTCGTGGGATGGATCTACAAACACCACAGGGAAGCTTGCGAGAAGGCAGGTAGGTGGCGGGGCCAGCCAACGGTCTTCCAATGTCTTCCACCGCATAGCGACGCCATGGGGAACGTCGGGTGGCCACGGCTGTGTCCGTTCGTCCGGCCACGGCCTCCGGCAAGGTGGGCACCGTCAAGCACGGCGCCTGAGGGCGTGCAAACTTTGACGGTCCGCGACGGAGAACGGGGGAATCAAGACCAAAGTATGTTGTGCTGTAGCTGGCTTGCATGTTCCTTGGCACCATGCTCATTCAGTAGGTAATTGGCACTTTGACGTTTAATGCTTTGACGTTTAATGCTTTAAGAATTTTAAAGACACTAGACCCTGAGAAATTACTGTGGGATGAAGTCCTAAACATGGCTTAACATGAGCAATGCTCTCCAGCAAATGTTCACCCATTATGTTTGGTCGCTTGGTTTGACCCATAAAAGACTTTGTTCCTGGGTGTGTTATGATGGCCAACAACACCATACATTCATGGATCAACCCGACCTTTTCCTGCATTGATATAGCAGGCAAGCCAACCCCAGCGCTTTGTTTGACAGAACAAAGCTGTCTGGTTGAAACCAGGCTTTCTGACTCCCAGCCACAAAAGACACAAGGACTCTTGTTACAGGCACCACCATTGTACCCAGTTTTGTGCTGCTCGCTACTCAACTGCCAACTTTTGCACTCAATCCCTCCCCTATGGGCATCTCTGTTCATGGCAATCAACACGTAGACCTTCAAGGAACAATGTGCTCTGCGCCCACACGCCCGGTCGATCCCGCTTTTGCCTGCAAACGCTGGGGTGCGCAAATCGACCTTGGCCAGGGCGGCCGGGGCGTGTGAGACTGATGGAGCTCTCCATGGTGTCCCACTTGCAATGATTTCAAGAGGCAACAAAATAGGCAAAATCAGATGTTGAATAAAGCAATACACTCAAAATGCACTAGATCTCGATATATATATATATATATGTATAAAGTACACTCTCCCGCTCTCAATTAATATACCTATTGTTTCTGTTCAGTATCGTCTGGTCCCATGGATGCATGAGTTTAAAGGATAAAAGTTTGAGGTAATCTACATCTACTTGGATGTCAACCATTTGAGGTCATGTTCAGTTTGAAGAACTATCAATACACATCTGTTCGATCTACTTTGAGGTCATCTTAGGTCACTGAAAAGAACACATATCTACCCAGACTACACGCAGTCATACTGTGCAGATTCTTCCACAAACAAATTTATATCAAAGGGGACAAACCCTTGAGCACGAGGAACAATTGACCACAAGGCTTCGCCTGTCAATCTGGACATTTTTGGACCTGATTTGGGACCTGGCGGGGCCGTCTTCGTGGAAACAGTGAGGCCAAGCATTAATGTGTTCATAAGACGCAAGCGAAACGGTGTCTATATATGTCTATATATATATATATACGTATATATATATATATTGATCTGTCTGTCTGGAACCGCGGAAGGTTTGCTTTCGTTGGACCCACCTTCCAAAAAACCTGCCATAAAAATGCCTGAAGCCTGAAGTCTGTGGGTTCCAGATGTTTCACTCGTGGAACTCCAGATGTTTCCCCCAGATCCTGCGGACATCCTTCCCGCTTAAAGGCGCCTCACTTTTCAGCGCCGTCTTCGGAAGCCCTCGGTTTCCTTCGTCCGCCCTTCGGTCACCTCTGTGTCTCGCTCTGACCGTCGTGTCCATCAACCAAGCAGCATGGAACTGACGGTGAGGCGGGCGCGGCGTTGGCACCGGGCCTCAGCCGAAGCATGTCGACACGTGGCGACCGGTGGCGACCGGTGTCGTCGGCGTGAGTGCCCCGATGTACCCTCTGACGAACACATCACATGGTCATGTGGATGGCATGGTCCTTTGGAAGACTATACTGTCCTTCCTCTACCAACAAGGGGTTTCCCACTTCCATGTGAGTCAGAGTGTAATTCTACTTCCAGTGCACCTGAAAAAGACGTGACATCCGTCTGCTACAGTGGACACAAGTTCGGCATGACAAGGATCCGTGCTCCAGTCCACAGCAACAGTTCGGTCTGTTTTCCTGTTGAGAGTCGGTTTAGGATGGTGCAAGGTGAACCTCCAAATCCAAAGCCAAGAATCCAAACATCCGTGCTCCAGATCGCTCCAGATCTCAACAAAAAGTCCAGAACACCGAATTGCAAACCATCAGTGGGTGCCCGAAAAACCCTCGCAACGTGAACCTGAGGCCCCGAACTGCCTGCAATACCGGCGCGATCAGCGCGCCGCGCGCGATCAGCCGCCGCGCTTCCCGCTTAACCCAAACGCTTGAGCCACAGAAGCGTGAACCAACGGGGCGAAATCCACTGAAGTTGCAGAACGAACATGGAGTAAGGCCTGGACCCGCAAGGGGTGGATGGACACCCCGAATCACCTTATAAGGGACTATTCATGGACACCCGGAATCCATGCTGGTCCTTCCGTGTCGGGTTCCCTGTCTGGATGTTGGTTCTGCTCCAAAAGGTGCCTTTCGGTTCTTCACCCCAGTACCACCGTCGATGTCGTGGACCAAGTGCCGGGAGTTGGTCAGACCGGCTCACCCACAGAAGACACGATCTCAAGAGCTCCGGACCCCCAAGGGATGGTGGGCATCGTTGGGGAGACCGGTCATACCGGAAAGCAGTGGCAAAGCCAAGACCGAAACATGGACATTGAGGAAGACCGGTCCAAGTCATGTATGCTATGCATCAGTCGGAACGTTTACTACCCACTAAACGAACATGCATGTCTGGGAAGAACGAACGGGTTACGCAGATTCTGTGCGACTCAAGGAACAAACTCGAATCAACTCACCAAATGCATGTCACATAGATCAGACTCATAAATCATCATAGATCTGATCTAGTGGAGACCTGCAAGTTTTTGCCCGCTGCCGACTCTCGAAACCAGATGCTGCAAGTTCTTTTTTACACCTGACACACCGGTGGCCCTGGTGTATCCTTTGTCACAGTTTCGACGTGGATGTTGTGAACCTCCGGGGGTCTGTCAACTCACTGGGAGGTCAGTCTATTTGAGCTACACCTCGTGGTGAGTTTGGTCTCTTGGGATGGTTTGGTGGTCGCTCAAGCTACCACGTCTGGGGCAAAACTCAGCAGTTGAGTCTTAGTTGCTACAGAACATGGCTTCATTCAGGATCGTCAATGCTGTGGTGGGACTCTTTCTCCAAACATAATTCAAGAAAGCTCAAAGTAAGCAGAAAGTCAGATTAGGAAGGGACTGACTTCTGTGCTTTTGATCTACAGCTCCAGGGGAGAGCTCTGTGGGATTGAGAATGTTTGGCTCTGCTTGGATTGTCCGGCAGGGTTCCGTGTGGAACCAGCCACAAAAGCTTGGCAGCTGCCAATTTCAACAGGCTATTCACCTGTGCAGTCAGGAGCATCGAATCTGGACAGCCGATTTGAAGAATTGTCGATAGCAGAACTGACTGGTAGAAGTACCCCAACAAACTTCTACTGCAAATTGTAAACGGTGGCGATGCCGGAATTAGCTTACATGGCTCATACAAGTTGTGAAAAAGTCCTCATCTTCCAAGCCTCCCAAAGAAGCACTTGGCATCCAAGGGGTGTTCTGACACGCGGCATCCGCATCCACTGTGGAACACAGTGGATGTTTTTGCAGTTCCAACGCCAGGTCGATGGTTCAACGCCCGGTCGGCGACTTCTTTCTTCACCATTATTCAGATCCCACGACCTGGGTGTTCCAATAGGCGAAAGACCCGGGGGGTGTTCCAACCTCCAAGATCGGAAGGGGAGTCTTCTCCACTGCCTTCAGTGCTTGACTCCCGCCTCGATCCCTAGACCTTAGTCCTTGAACCAAAGGTTCCACCTGTTCCGTCCTGCCAGGTGGGCAATGCCATCGACTCTCATGAAACCATGTGTGGCATACAACATTGTGGCATACCATCTTCAGTGGGAAAACACATGCAAAACCCATCCCCCAAGAAGGCAGATCCAACAACAAGGCTGGCTCTTGTCGCCGGCTCTACACACAACGGCTGTGATCAGCTCCAGTGCTCCCGCTGCTTCTACGCAAAGAAGCTTGGCCCTCTTCAGCCTGGCAGCCGTCTGGAAAGCCAAAGGACCAAAGGATGCCAAAGGTCTGGATTTTCCCAAATGAAACTCATGAATGCCAGTGGGTATTTACCCCATGGACAGGTTTAGAGTTCTGCCTCAGACATCTACACTGAGAAAGCTCATGAACGAACATCATGCGCTGCGATCCGTTCACCAAACATCGTTTGTTCTCGAAGAATACCGGTGACTTGGCTGAGCACGGACCCGAAAAGTATCACCATATTGCCATGCATAGATCTTCCTAAGAGAGTTTCATGGCCGAAAAAGAAGGCCAGATTTGAGAATGGTCTGAAGTTCAATTGTTTACGAACAGTGTTTTATCTATTTTTCGTTTGTTTGTGTTTACAGAATGTCTGCATTGAGAACAGGACACATGATCTAAACAGTTTCTAACCCATTCCAAGACCCAAAAGAAATACGAAGAACTAACCCCAGTTAGTTAGTCCCAGTTTCTAACCCCGTTTCTATCCCCACGCACCGGTTCGTACCGCTTCGTCGCCTCACTCACAGGTCTGTGCCGAGGCGGAGTCCCAGCCCTTCCCCACGGCAGTGAGGTGGGCCGGACGGAGCCTCCGGTTGACTGGGAGAGGACACAACATGGGGAAGGTTTTGACATGGATGGTTGGAGTTCAACAGGTTTGGGTGGTTAGAGTCTGCTAGGGTTATATAAACATATAGAAATCCTGGTCCAAAAGAATGATATGACTGATATGGATGACCAGGACCATATGTAGAAGATTGCAGAAGGAAAAGTGGTCACATGTGTTGTACTCTTCCCAACGTTATCGTTTTTTCTATGAACTTCATCGCTCCTGAGGGTGTGGACACACAACATGTACTAAAACCTTATCGTGTTTGAATTTTGTTTTTCCTGTGAACCTTATCGTTCCTGAAGGTTTCCTTCACTTTACTTACTTAGTCTTCACTGTAGTGATGCTGCCTTCATCGGAGGTTTTGGCAGCTCATATCATGTCACAGAATTCGGGGCCATGGCATGTCAGGTAAGCATGATCATTCCAGGGAGTGTATTGATTCTGAACTTTCCAACGAAAGGGTCTCTCAAATGTCTGTGATCGATCCTCCCACTAGCCAACCCCCCTGGGGCCGCAGCAACAAGGAGGACCCATCATCCAAGACCACCTGCAACGGACAGAGAATTCATTTGGGAGTGACCGGGGCTTTCTCGCGAACTTTCGGCAAAACGGCCTGGATGTAACAATCTTCCCTCTACCGTCCAATCCTTGAGCGACCTTGTTCCATGGTGCCAGGTATGTTCACCAACCTCCAAGGAGGGGTGCTAGGTATTTGCTGTGAATATATTTGCTGGCAGTATGCTTAGTCGCCTGAAGAACTTCGTGGCTGAAGAACTTCGTGCGGCTCATGGTTGCATGTTTGCAAATGGGGAGGTTGGGGGGTAATCATGTTTCCCTACACCTCCAAGTACCTGCTCAGGTTCGGTATGACTGGACCCTCCTGGCACCCACCCCAGTCCCACCTTCTCAACAGGTACGACTGGAGGCCTAGGGGTTTGTTCCGATTTGAATGTTTCTCACGTGTTCTGATCGATTTGATCTGCAGGACTCGTTGGTACATCCTGTGTCTTCGTCTGTCAGTCCGTTTGGTGGAAGTGGAACGTCCGTGGATCCTTTGGTGAAATCGAAGTGTGGGGCCCTGGGCTTCTTGCGAGGACTCTTCTTCTTAGGGCTTGCTGAGATATGGTGACAAAACAAGAGGTATGGTGGTCACTAGACAGTTTAATACAACACCAGAGTTTTTGCGCGTTCTTTTGTTGCATGTTCTTTGCTATATATATGCTATATATGCATTGTGCCGGCCAAAGGCCGCGAAGTCAGAATCTCTTGCCATCAACTCTCAACCCAAAACAAAAGAGTTCACATTTGATTACAGAAGTGCAAGACTTGCCAAAGAAGCTCAGCAGAGTTGCTGCAAGCAGGAGATAGATAGTGGCTGCAACTCCCAAACTTCTTACTTCACCTTCTTCATCGAAAGTCTAAGAAGAAGGGTGACACTTGCGACTTGTTGTGAACCCATGTTTGAAGCTACGAGTGTACCCATGACGGACGTTGATGGTACGGACGTTGACAGGTCAGAATCCTGAAGATTTCGTTCGCCTCGCTGAAAAGACGGTTTTGCTCACTTTTGGACATGTGATTGACCAATTCAATTGTCACATGAAGCAGAATTAAAAAAAACACATATCAGGCGCCTTAAAACGAGAACAAGAAAACGCCGTGACCATATAGTTGTAATATATATAACTTATAACAAATCTTATATAAATTTATAGATTATATAATCTATAGGTGCAGGAGTCAGCCGAAAGGCACTAGAAGTCGTTCATCGACAGAACTTTGCACTGTACCGTGATTTCTGAAACGTACATCGACCCCCAAAACTCCTGAAACCACCCCAATGTGGACAACTATTCCCTAGGGCTCCCACTACCTCCGTTTCGAAGATGGTCGGGGTGGGTGCCAGGGGGGTCTAACCACCTTCTGAGGATATGGTTGGAGCCCTAGGGATTATGACGATGCCAGGCACATGGAGTCTGAAAAACAACACTTAAAACCCATCATCTGACAACCTCTACAGTATCGCTTTGCATCTTACACTCGGGTCCAGTGTTCTTCTCCCGTTGCCGTCGTCCCTACGCCACCGTGGTCCGTGGTCCCGCCATCGTTTGAACCCCCCGACGAGGTGGGATCACCGGCCGTCGAATGGCACAAGCACTTGGTCAGTGACCTACACGTTGGGACCTGTTTGACCGCACAAGCACTGGAGTTGGTCATACAAGTGAAAACAGTGAGGAAAACGGGGATTTCTCTGCCAAGGAAACTGTATACGGATTTCTCTGAAAAAAAGGTGGTGCCAGATTTACAGTATCCTGACTCCTGACCATATCTGTCGAGCTGTTCCCGAAAAGAAAACAAAGAAACTCACCCATCGTGCCATATCATGCCTAATCAATGGGAGTTCATTTTGTTCATAGCTTCACACCCTGGTGTTTGGGGCTTCTTGTGCGTTTCACTGAGAGGTTTTCCCACTTCTCCACTTCTCCCATTGTGGCTCGTGAGCACTGAAGACCATGACTCTCGCCTTCCAGCGCTCAATCTGCTGTACCCACCTCATCGCGATGAACACCGGTCAAAACACCTTTTTCCGCAGCCTGGTTAAGAAAAAATGATGTCATCTTGTGTAGTGCTGAGTGCCAGCTTGTGTCTCATGTTTTTCTTTGGTGAAGTCTCTCCTCCCTCTCCTAAGATCTGCCAGCTACCATGTTTGACCTTTCGACCCATCACGAAGGTGTGTCACGCTTTGGTTGTTGTTTTATCCCTACCATATTCAAGGGGGGACCTCTGGAAAATGTAAGTTACATTTCTGGAGGTCCCCCTCCATTTTTGATGGTCAAAGGGGTAGGGATGTTGTTGTATGTTGGTTGTCTTCCCATCATCATGGCCGAACCTTTGTGTCGTCATGGATGGCTCGACGGGGGCGAGCCTCCCCGAACCACCATACGCATGGTCCATGGTCCTTGTCACGCCCCGGCTGTCCCCGGCTGCAAAGTCAGATATTCTAGCCCAATCACCAACAAATCTTTGGATGAACACTTGTATAGGTCTCTCGTCTTGGGCGGCAGCCGATCAAACCTCCAGCGACGGAAGACGTGCCCGTCCCACGTTCGGACTCCGCAGCGAGTCGATCCGCAGCGAGTCTCGGACTCTAAGGCCACTCCCATGGAGCCGTTGAGCTCCGTCTGCCGCTTCAAGTCGAAGACCTGCCGCTTCAAGTCAGTTGACGTAGCTGTTTCTCTAGCAGTTCTGAGTGAACAAGCAGCGGCGGCCTGGTGACCTGGTGTGTTCCCAAAGGAACAATTTACAAGAATCACCCCTGATCTGCAGGGTCAACTCGGTCAACCCTACTCATTTCATAGAGGACATTCTTAAACAAATAAGCTGCTGAGAAGCTGTCTCTTGAAAAACAAAACGGAGGTCCCTTGGAGTGATTCCGAACGTCACGTCGAAATCCGTCTCACCATGAGCCACGACGGAACAGCCGGAAAGGTTCCGAGCCGCGACGCCTGGATCCGGCAGCCCGCGCGCAAGGTGTAGCTGCGCGCTGGCGGCGCAAAGCCCAGCTTGCCAGAGAGCGAGTCCAAAGGTCTAGCGCACCGAGGGACGCAAAGAGTCATGATACGCGTCGTATGTCGCGTCACGAGTGACGCGCCACTGCAAAAGCCGAAGACCATCTGAGCCATGCTGAAAACCTTGATAGATTCCTATGTCGTAAGAACTGCCTTACGCGAAAACTTACGCGGCGCTTACGCGACCGCAGTTTCAGCTTACGCGGGGGTGTTGCTTACGCCGCTGCTTACGCCACCTTACGCCATTGCAAGCTTTCCTTACGCAGCATCGATATGACATAACCTGGAAATGTCTGGCTTACGCCAAAGCTTACGCAGAGCTTACGCGACCGCAGTTTTAGCTTACGCGGGGGGAGGTTTTCAGCGTGGCTCATCTGTGATTCTGGAGTACCCATATCGTTCTTGGGCACCCCACTCTTTGGATCGATTTTGGTGCAACAAGGATGACTTGGGATGCATCATTTTGGACCCTGCGAGCAAACCATGACAAGTCAAGTTTGATTCGACTGGTAGGAACTGCTTCTTCACCCCTTCTGTCACGCGGTCACTTCTTCTGTCGTCTGAGACGTGTGTTGATGTGACACTATAAACTTGAGATACATCGAGAGACGAAAGTCTCCCACCATCGAAGGCGCGGCTTTCACCTCGAAAAAAAGGGATGATAAAGGACTGGTTGGTGGCTTCAACTCACCTAAAGAATGGGATCCCTCATCTCAAGTTCAGGTTCTTCACAAACGAAAACATGTCTGAAACCACGACCCAAAGGAGAACTGCGGTGGAGGCCATCGCTAGTAGGTGTCCTTTTTGTTCTTTTTCTGTCATAGTGCTTTTCTCTTTTGAGCCACAGTTGTGACCCTTCCCCACAAGCCCAGCTCCGCACCACGCTACCAGGCCTTGGACCCGTCTCCTCCTGTGAGCAGGACTCGCTCCGCTGCGAGAAGTCGGCGAAATTGGGAGAACGGTCATCTAAGCTGGTGCCATGGTGTAGGGGAGCTTCATTTTCGCAACTGATCTGGTTTTAAAAAGGATTTGTCAGATTCTGATTCTGATAGATTCTGTGGTTCTGAGGTTCTGTGCAAACGACGGCAAACTCGAAATGGCTATGTCAAAACATGTCAAAACGATCCGATTCAGTCTATTTGGGCATCCAAGCGGCCAAGCGGTATGTGATTATGTGAGGGTACAACTTGACTGCGTCTCAATTTTCCCAGAGGCTTCCACTTCAAAGGTGCCCGATCTTGCAGCCAAGAATAGTGAGGATTTGAGGATTTGTGAGGATTAAACTCTTTCCCCTAGGCCTCCAAGTGCCTCGCCAGAAGGTATTTAGACCCGGTAGACCCCAAACACCTTCGGGTGGAGCTCCGGGTTGATGAATCAATCCAGATCATATTCTCATGCGGTGAGAATGAACGCTGTAGATGCGACCATCGGTGTCGAGCACCGATGTGCTAGGGTCACTTAAAATGTTCGTGGCTAGGTCACATGTGTCACATGAGATAAGAAGAACCCCAATGAAGTATGTCCTTTCGTTATATCATCTGTCTGTGTCCATCCATAAATCAAAATCACATGTCGATGGACAATCGCTCAGTGCAGCGCATCTTGGAAATCCAAAATGCACACGTGGTGGAGATGAGTGCACCAGCAAAAAAAGGATTAACTTGTGTTTCAAAGCCAAAGGATTCAAGGTTTGGGTCTCAAGAGCACAGCAAGCGCTAAGCACTTTGATCACAGTCAAATGATCAAAACTTGAACAACAATTTGAAGTCTTCTGGCCACCACATTGTCAGTTTCATGTCAGCTCCAGCGTGGACCATCTGTTTGGTCCTAGGACGGCTTCTAGATTTTGTGGTGTCAACAGGCTGCCGCCTGCCTCTTCAGGGTGAGATCAGTTGAGCACCACATGGGTCCCACCTCCATCTTCCCCTGAGAGTCCACACCGGTCCCAGCTCCAGGTTGTTCGGCCTCATGGGCTCCGTTGGCACGGGTCAGGGGATCAGACGGTCTGCTTTGGATCTACTAGCTGGTCCGTCAAAACAGCTCTGATGAGTAGGCTTCGCGAGTTTGTTCTCAAGGGTGAGGTGGAGTGGTACATGCTAGCAACATCTACCAAGTGGCTAAGAACTTCTTTCCCCAGCCCCAGCCTTTGCCCTATAGCTGTGCTCCCACCCCTCCGTTACACCCAGACTCCATGCACCCCTCTGATGCACAACCCTCTCAGTGTGCCTGAACATTTTTTCGGCGCCAACGTCCATTAACACCTTGGAAGCCGCATCAGCCCCCGAGGGCCCAAACGCGAATCCCGGCAAAAGGACGTCCACCTACTTGGGCTCGATTATACAATAAGAGGTGCTACAAGGCAAGACACAGTAAGTGCATGTGTTTGATCCAAACTCTTTCATGACTAAGTGGCCCGACCAATACGGGTATCCGTTCATTTCTTGAAATATTAATACAGCAATGATCTCCCTCTGTACTAGTGAGCGGTTTGGATGTGTTGTTGTTTTTTTACTTATTGTTTCAATATCTTCTCATTCTCATACAGTATAGTATGCACTGAAGAGCTGTTTGGAGGGTTTTCTCAAAATCGACAAACCCAGCCAACTATAGATAACTATAGTGTTGGACACCCCAAACCCTCTTAAACTTAGCTTTGCTTTACAAAGGAGTCTTTATGAAGAGTCGCTTTGGACAGGTCCAATCAATTCCAATCAACGAGATGTGTTTTTCACCACTCTCGTCTCGAGATGAAAGAAGATGACACGCAGCTCGAACCATCCATCCATCCATCCATCCATCCATCTCCCGAGCCTCACGACTCGATTGATCTCAATCTCGGATTTGCGGTCCAGGAACCGGGATCCCGAGGGGGAAAAAGAAACAACACACATATATTCACCCATGCAGAAGGGCAAAGTCCAGAATCACCGGCCTTCCACAAAACCAGCTCTCTATCACTATCTTATATATGTATTCTCTGTCCTTTTGAGTCTGGAAACCCGGGAAACGTTGGCCAAACCCGTGACGAAACCGTGGTGGACCCGTGATTTCCCCGTGAAAAAATAACGCGGGTTGAACCCTCTAGTATCCCTCTGAAATGTTTTTGTTTTTGGTGTGGATTGATAGTCACTGGTCTCACTGGTCCAGCCTCTTTCTGGGTGCCAAGAACCAAAACCCCGTGTTTGGGGGGCAAACCCTGGTTTGCGAATTTCTCGGGTCTGATTGGTGAAGGTATACAGTATATACAGCTGTATATCACTTGGAGTGTCTGGGTAAGAGTTCACAGTTCCCCCAAACCGCCATGGTCCCTTCCAACCGAACCCCACCACCGTCCCGGTCCCACCACCGGTCTCACCGTCGCCACCTGCCAGCGCTCCTCGGTGACATCCCACCGCCGGGCGGTGCCCACCGCGCCGTTGAGCTCCGGCTGCGAGCGGAGGCCTCGAGGAGCGGGCGGCAGGTGCGGCCGATGTCGGTGTGACCAAGCTGCGAAGTGAAGGACTTGTTGGGGTCATGTGGTGAGTGAACTGAGTGAACCATGTTGAAAGGATTTTTGTTTAATGATCTTTTTGGTTCTGAAACTTGAAACACCAGTTGCTGCACTATGGGATGGTTGATGGACCAAACGAGGTCCCACCTAAGTGTCGTGGTGTTTTCTTGTGTGTTCCACCGGGAGCTTGGCATTTTGGACGGTCATCGATTTTAGACGGTGTGGATTCAATACCGAAGTACCAGCACCCGACTGGTGGCTGAAGTCTCGGACATGGTGCTTGACATGAGGAAGTGGCAGGTGCCGACCCGGCGGTGCAGGTAGCGGTGCTGACTGCATTGACTGCATCGACTACTGAGGCCGAAGACCTGGACACAGCGCATCGACCATCGCTTGACTTGGTGGGGATGGTGGACAAAAACCTCTTGAGGATGTAATGAGACCCTTAGCATTGTGAATGACTCTCTCGCGATAGACTCTAGTCTATGACAGTCCAAGGTCATCCGCTTCGCTCTTCAGAAGGGTCAACTCTTTTGTACGTGCCTCTGGATGTTCATTTTGGAATAATATGGAATAAGGAAACGTAGGAGTTTTAGTGAAATCTTTATATACCTGATTGTACCTTGACTCTACAGGTCTATAACCATGTGTTCATGTTCATCCCACCCAATTGAGGGCCCCAAGCCTTACCAGATCCTACCAGGACCCGCTGAGATCCAAGAAATTCAGACTTCAGCGACCATGTCCGACCCCCCTTCCGCATCTCCTGGCCTTTGACCACCACGCGCGCACCAGCGGCCACCGAGGAGGCTTGCAGCTGCAGGTTCTTCGCCTGGAGGGAGTGACCGCTGCCGCTGTCCAGGCGCACCTGGCCCAAAGGTGGAAGGAGGAAAAAGGACGGGGACCAAGCAAGGAGTCAGTGGAAACTCCCTGATTTCTCAACATGAAAGTGGATGGCCATACATGGCCGACCATGGATGACCATGAAATCCAAATGCCACTAAAGGTGCTCTTCACTCCACTTCGATGACTCACCGGGGAGTTTCTCTATGTACGTCACTGTCGACATGTACGTCACTATGTCTCTTCGTGTTTCTCTGACGTCCCACAACAACTGACTAAGCGGATTTGTTGCCGGACTCTTCCGATCAACATGTGCATCCGATGGGATCGACGCGAAGAGTCGGAAGCGAAGAGTGCTGCAGCTGCGAGTCGCGGGCGCTTTTCTGTACTACCCAGAAACCAATATGAAAGCATCTGTCGAGTACCAGTCCTCTATTGAGAGAATAGGCCACCCATCAATTTCAGCCATTGGTGGCAAGGCCATGGTCTAGACCATTCCCTAGATCTTCATTCGTGACCTTTTTGGGATCAGGTCGTGACCGAACTTATAGCCGAAAGGTGACCGAAGCAACCAAGAAAAAACAAAAGAAGTCCAACCTGGACCTTCGGTGTAAGGGCTTCCATTGATCCCTTTGAAGGTGCTGGAATGGATCAGGTTAATGGATCACTTTGAAGAACCCCACCTCCGAACTCTGGACCTGAAAAAATACGGCTTTTGAGAGGTGGAACCGGGTCACCCCTGGGTTTGGTGGAGAAGGTCCGACCCCTGCGGAGGGCCTGGGGTCGGATTCTTAGGGAAGGGGCGCAATCCCCACAAGCCACCAATCTATGGAATGCCTGTTCTGAAATCGCCCCATACGAAGTGCGCCGTGGCCTGCCATCTCTGTTCCGCACGGTCCCAAGCCTCGAATATGCCGCTTCATTCTGGCTGAGGAAAACAAATGAAAGTCAGTATACTGGACTCGTACCAGCAACCCCAAAACCTGCCAGGTCAACACCTGCCACCAATTTTGGGTCGTCGTGATTCAGCCATTCTGGAGACCTGTTGATCGTCGGGTGTACCAGCAACATGTCAGTGAAAGAAAGCACAGGAGGAACAGGAGGAACCCTGTCAGCCGACAGCTGCATGATGTATACCCCATCGGAGTCGAAGGTAGGACCCTCCATTCTCGCCATCAGCTGCACGCACCGAAGCGAACTGGAGGTAAGAGTCCGGACATGTGTAGCGACCTATCTGGAAGGACCTCCTGCACCACCAAGTTCGGATGGTTCCTGGATGGAACAGCAACCACCCGAACTGGGTGGTGCTGGCAGTACTTACTGTGGGATTCGTTCTTGAGGTTATTGTAGCAAAACTTCTGAAGTCAAAGAATTCTTACGCTGATGTTCGATATTGGCTTTCAACTTTCAACATAGAGCCAAAGAGCGGCCGCAGAATTACTGTAACTACCATTGTTCAAATGTAACCATTTTGAAGCAGGACATGTGTAGGGCCTGGGCCAAAGAGCTGGTATTCTTCGGTTCTCAAATGACCATGGAGATGGATTTGACCAATTTGTAAAGGAAAATGATCTTCCATTGAGCAGGCCCTGCACCAGGCACCAGGCACCAGGTTTGTTCAACAAAAGCACACGAACGTAGAACCTCTGCTTGCCTGGCTAATATGGGAACTGCATTGCCAAAGGTCCCTACAGGCTCCAAGAGAATGCAAAGAAATCAAAGAACATGACAAAGTTCTCAACAACCAAGATCCTGCTCTTCATGCGGGGTAGAACCAAAGTGGAAAGAGTGACTAGTGTATTTAAAAATATAGTATGTAAAAAGATAGTGGCTTACAAGCATATCACTAGATATTATACTTTCCTGCGCACTTGCCTGGGATTGCCTCGGTATACCAGCTGGCTCAGTTTGAAAGAGTGTGAGTTTCTTCCAGAAGATCATTTGGTCAGTTTCATTCAGCTTCCATATATAGCTGTGTCAGCAAAGGCTCAACCAAAACTGCCACCAAACCCACAAGAAGCGTGCAGCATGCCTCCCTCTTTCAGGTTTAATATATACACATGATCATTGTACAAGACATATTAAATACAGTAGAAGTATGTTTGTTGGAAACATGTCGTATCACTTGGACGTGCTGAACAGGACATCGAAACAACCAAATAACGCCAAATCGACTTCACCCGAAGGGAAAAAACACCTGTCATCCGATCGGCAACTATCAGGATATATCGAGCAGGATATCACCCTCATGGTGGGAATTTCATCAAACTCAAAACATCTTGCCCAGAAGCCACTACAGTGCCGTACTGACCGTTGATGTGCCATTGCTGTTGTAAGCCTTGACACCTGACTCGAGAACCAGGATGGAGGCTCCTGTCGGATAGATCGCTGAAAAAGAGAGCTGATCCTCTCGGGAAAAAAACAAACGCAAAAAACAAAAATAACAATATGGATCCGAGGGAGAACAATGATGAAAACTTAATCGTTTTTTGGTGAGGAAGTTGATACGGCAAAGACGCCGTATAGAATGACTGAAAAAGAAAACAAAGGTGTTAAAAAGGGCATGGAAAATGGAGGAAGTTGTTATCGTTGTTGTGTTTTCTCACTCATCTGTCCAAGAACTTGTGTCTTCTTCAGTGAAGACTCCTTTGGCCAGCAAGTCTGCAGCCCCCAAATCAGAGTAACCCGACGCTTTCAAGCACCAAACAGCTTACCACGTTTGCCCTTCATGTCCTTTTGGCACTTTCATCAAGCCTTGAGTGGATATCCCGCTCTTCTGTTTAGAGTGGAGATCCTGCATAGCAGAATCTTGCAGGGGGAATCATCTCTGATGAAGAGATTAGCCCATCAGATGGCCCATCTATGTCCTTCAAGCGGAATCGCGCTATCAACTCTCCTTTGCATATAGTCAGTCTTCAAAAACGCGCCATGGGACATCCCGATCGATGCCCATGAAACCGTGTCTCGCTCGAACCACCGGTGCCACCGAATGCCTCGGACCGATCGACGGTCGCCGCCCACGTGATCCACCGGGCTGTGCCGACGTCGGCTGGGTCGTGAGGTACCAAACAACACGACCCAAGGCGCCTTGGGAACCAGTGAATTGATCGAATCCCGATGCAAAGCCCCAAAAGAGACCGTGAAACCACTAGGACCCTCCAACTTGGATCTTGCAGACCAGTCACATTGATCATCATCGAGAGCAAACCCAAACCTCCATCATCCGATCCAAAACCAACATCAAGTGACCATATATGGGCCCCCTACGGGGCGTCTATCATAGGGGGGCCCTTGGTGGTAATTCGGGATGTCCACACCCGGTGTCAGCACCCGCAACCGTCTCGGCTCTCGCCGATCGGTGCGGTTTGGAGTCGAGGGAATCCGAGCGAGCTCGCCCGGTCGGTCCTTTGAGACTCCTCATCGTTCGGTGAAAGCCTGGGAGGTGAAGGGTCGATCGAGGACGTCGGTGAGGGAGAGCCGGTGATAACCAGCGAGGTGAAGCACACGCGCACAAGGCTTTATATATGTCAGTCGTATACAGACATTTCACATCATTTAACTATATGATTGATACATGATACAGTATAATGTGTAAACTTTGTAATTCAACAACAGCATGGGCGAAGATGATATTGAGGGATTCCCGAAGGTATTTCTTTCTGTTTGTTGTTTTATGTTGTTTTCACTTTTGGGAGACACAACAATAATTATCTGGGCCCCATAAAACCGACGGACGCAAAGGCGGCCTCTAACAAGTGGCCTGTGGCCAGTGGCCACTTGGTGCTAAAGAATGGTGATCAACCAAACACCAAACACCTTTTAAAGCTTTTGTGGAGGAATGCCGAACACATCTCTCCTTGATCTTGGAACCTCCATGGGGACATCCATGATATAGCCGGAGAAGAGATAGATAACAAAAAGAATGGTGAGCGGAAGTGAGCTGAAAAGGGTACTTTGAGTAGTTGTTAGGCGCAGATTCACCTGATTCTGCTCCCTCCATTGGGTTTCTCTTAGACTATGCTGGTGATGTTCTCTCACGTTCGTCTACTATGCCCGCAGCTTCTTATAGTTTTCAGTTTGTCTCAGGAGGGCACGTCTACTGGATCAGTGACACTTCCCTGTAGATGTCATAGTCATATCCATTACCCTACACCTCCAAGTACCTGCTTAGAAGGTATGACTGGACCCTCCTGGCACCCGGGCCCCGAGTCCCACCTTCGAAACGAAGGTACGACTGGAGGGCCAAACGGGTTAATGATTATCTGCCTCTGCTTCGAACCCACAAACCTCGCTCCAAGCAGCAGAATTCGATCCTTTGGCGCGTCGTCCTCCTCCACTGCGACTTCGGCAAGACGTCCACCGCTGAACTGCGGCACTTCGGCTGCGACGTCCCGTGCAGGGGCCGTCGCACCAGGCGTGGCCGTCAACTCCGGCGATGCCATGCATGGAGCAGTTGGAGCTGGTGCTGGCGCGTCGGGCACCGGCGCAGGCACCGGCGCAGGCACCGGCGCAGGCACCGGCGCAGGCATCGGCGCATCGGGCGCTGGTTGCAAATTCTGAGGCCTGAGCGTCGAGGACTGGCCAGGATTGAGGAGAAGCAATGGCTTCTGCTGGCATTGAGAAAATCGAAATAGAACACGTGGCAGAACGTTGGCCCCGCTGAAGACGATCCCATCAACCCTGTGTTTCCCACTGGCTTGTGAGGATCACAGTCGGACTCAGGTTGCCATTCGACCCAGCGTGGAACTGGCGACCACAATGGCTATAGTACAGCCCCAAAACCTGCTCAGAACCAGCTTCCCCCCAAGAGTGTGAACCCCGGTACTGGTAGTCTGGTCAGCAATGGTGACTGAATAGGTACTGAAAAAAAGTGGAAGTGTATGGCACCACCTGTTTGTAGAGGAAAATGGTCATCCAATAAGCCATTTTGCACTTCCACAAATACTTATTTTAGGGAGTGCAACGAAATAAGCAACACCAAGTCAACATCTAAACCCACCCACATTGCCTCAGCAATTTCCCAGTGCCATCATCCATCACAACCTGCGGAAAAGAAAAGAAAACAAACAAGAGGGTCCAAGAGGGTGAAGGGGTGTGGTGAAAGATCCAATCGTGGGTGGAGTTGCTCTTCAGCTTCAGCGCGTGATTTCTAGAACAGCTGGGCATCAAGCACAAGGGATAACAAAGGGGGTGGGTGCCAACCAACCCTTCCAAAACCTGCCGCGTCCTTGGGGACTGTTTCTTGGGCCAGCTGATGGAATCTGACTCAGAAAAGGATTCCTTATAAAGAATGATTCAAAGTCACAGCCATCAAACAACAGTGCACAGGTCTCGGACGTCTCGCTCTTGGGTTTTTAGTGTCAATATGGGGACCAGGATCCAAACGACATGACAACAGCATCAAAGCAAACCTTCACATGACTTTGGCAGTCTTGCACTCCAGAGATTCCTCGAAGCTGTCGAAAGGGTGTCCTCCTTCAGGCTGTTTTGGAGAACCACCCGATGGTGTTACTTGTATATATATATATTATATACCTCTCTCTCTCTCTCTCATGTCTATGTTTTTTTCTGACCCTGTCTTTCTGTCCAGCACTCTGAGGAGCAAATTTGAGCGACCAGGTCTGGCCGAAAAGGCGCACGAAAGGCCATGACAGGATGACTGGATGACAGGATGACTGGTGAATCAATTCACACAAAAACCAGTTCGGCTCCCTCCCAGTCCGCTGATCCCAACGCGAAACGATCCGGTGTCACCTGCCAACGCTCCTCCTCATCATCAAAGCTCACCAACTTCCCCAAGGAACCTGGAGAGTTGAAGTAGTGTCTTGTCACCTCCCAACGGGGAACCTGGAGAGTTTGGCTCCCCCGGGGCCCTGGTAGGGTCTCCATGTCTCTTTCAGCTTCTGCAGTGATGCGGTCCGTGCGAAGAACGGACGTGACGTGTCACCAAAACCGGACCTGGTGAAGACTGGGATCCACGGGGGAAGTCGATTCATCAACAGTCTACATTAGACCAGGACTTACCAACTAACTATACTTAATTTTGACGTTAGTCAATACCCTCATCAGATTCAAAATGGCTTTGCATCTCCAAGCCTGCAGTTCTTTTTTTGTTCACCAATGGTCTACATTCGGTTGATCTGGACTCCAGACCTGATGATTTGCTTGCGTTGATGTGAATTGAATTTTGGACCACAAACTTACAAGACCTTGGACAAAGAGAGCCTACCTGCATGGTTTAGTACCTTCAAAGCAACCCAAGGATGTCCCACAGTCTGAGTAAAGCAAGTAAGCTCCTGGAATGCTGAATTTGTGCGCTCCGGCATCACCCGGCATCATCACTTTCTCCAATTGATCCTCCAAACAATGAATGCAACAAAAACAAGTGACGTCCACAGTTTGAGAGAAAACCCTACAGGTCAGTTTGACCTTATGTTGCCTGGAGTTGAGGTTTTCAGGATCAGGCTGTGCTGGCGCTGCTCTTTGGATCCGATTCGGAAGACAGCAGCGCAAAAAAAACTGGTCACCCAATTTCATGCTGGCGGAGCGGGTAGCAAATAATTCAGATATCCTTCCTTCTTAGTACTCATATAGATCCCATGACGGCTTTAGCAGTAAATCCAGCAAAAATCAGAGAGGCCACGGCCTAAAAGCACGCTAAGGATGGTCTTGTGACAACTCCATCCCCTCCGCCCCTCCGCCGATTCCCGCAGGCGTGCCATTCAACTCTGGCTGCTTCTGCAGGCCAAGCACACGCACGCGCATGCCCTCCTCCAGATCCACCCTGGCAGCACAAAACAACACGGAGCTGCTGAGCCTGAAAACTCCGACTGATTCAGCTCTTCGGATGATCACGTCCACGTGATGATTCAGCTCTTCCGTGTGACGTCCGACCCTATAAAGGGTCGATGACTCATAAACCAGGGTATCTGGAGGGTTATATAATACTGGTATTACGGTATTACCTCGAATCAACCAAGCAATAGTGAAGGGCCATCGAGAAGGTGTGATGGAATGGACACAAAGATGTGGATCGAAGAGTTGGGAGAATGAGTGGCGATTCACTTCCAACTCTCCTTTCTTTGAGGGATAAGGCTGGAATAGATGCCTCCATTGACCCCAGGTCAACCACCCCAATGTAGATAATGTATAGATAAATACTTGCAATATGCCAGTTCCATGGCGTGTCTGGGTCATGTGCCATCCCCTGATGTGGTATGCCTCCCCTTTCTAGCAAGTGGTCAGACCTGCTGTAGCTTGCCTTTTCTTTGGTTCATAGGGTGATCCACGCTATGCCACAAAAAGGTTTCTTCTCCACCTAGGGATATGGTTGACAACCCGGGGTTGGGGTTTCGTTGTCCTTGCGGCCGTCTTCCCTTTCATGTGCTTTTTTGCACCATGAGCGGCTAGCGGCCATTTTACAATCACTTCGCTGAAAAGGAGTGGGACCCAAACCGTAAAGAAGGGTTATTGCATGTTCGCAGCCGTGAGTAACATGAGTACATAGTGAGTTGAATGCGACAAACGAATAAAGAACTGCAGTTTGCTTTGTTTTCAGTGGATGCCTAGGGCCTTCATGGGACATTCGAGTCTGCGACTCTGTGCCCCTGCGATCCCCCGCATCCTCAAGTATATACATGTTTTCCTAGTTCTCGCGCCATCAGTGTCTCTTCGGATGACTGCAAAACCATATGTGATGTATTTGGATGTGTTTCATGTCTTGACCATTTTTCTATGTGTGTTTCTTGTAGAGCACATCATAGTAGATACAATAAACGCTTCAATCTATCATGCAGCCTACCACCATTCCAAAACATCAAGCCCACCAACTTACCGCAGCATCAACACTACACAAGCAGCAAATCCACCGCACAAACATGCAACCAAACAATGGCAACAAACAAGCTCTCCCGGCTCACAATCCACAACAAATACACATGTACAGCGTAGTACAGCTATATAAATATATACAGCAGCCAATAGCAGCGTCGGGCCTTTGATGCGCGACGAGCTTCTCTAAGTTCTCGGGCTTCAGAAGCTTTCCGGTGCCATCCTCCATGACCACCTGCGAGCCAGCGCGAGCTGTATTCTTGTGGTCTCTGAGGCGTCAACGGACCAGACCTGGGCCCTGGGCACATGCTTTTTGGAGGTTCCCCACAAGGCGGGGGCGAAGAGGGACCCTGAGGTTTTGAATGTTCAAGTTCAACTTGGATAGCTCAAGCATCTACAGGTCATAAGTCGTGTTGCTCCGTGTCTTGCTGATGTATGCTGATGTTGCAAGCGTATCTTGGTATTCAAAGGAAGCAACACTGCGCTGCTTTAGGACTTCAGACCCTTGGACGAGAAGGAGCTTAAGGTCATTACATGGATCGAGTTTCTATGCTGACATGTACAGCTTCCACAACCCGAAGACATGGCGACCCTCGCCCGCCCACGTTCGCCTCCGTGGGGGTTCCACCCACCCCATCGACCAGCGTAGTGGCAGCGTAGTGGATATGTGCTCCACATGTCTCAGTCCATCAGTCTGCCTGGAATACCAAGGTTAACCATAGTTAACCCGTGCACTGCACCTTTTTTCCAGCTCTTCATTGTTATGTTGGAAAGCAATCAAAGTGTCTCCACTTGTCTGGGGTAGGCAGTCGGTCAGCAGTTTTTCACATGTGTCGGATGAACCGGAAAGCAAATCCGGTCAATGTCGGGATGGTGCGTCGAGGCCGATCCCACTACATTCCATCGAAACCACTACAATCATGTGAACAAGTCTATACCCAAACACTCCATGTATGGCATAGTTGCCTACATTGGTGTGGTTTCTGATGTCAATGTATATTATATTCATTATAGTTTTTGGGCTATGATTCTCCCAAATCTGACCGCATTCGCCGCCCTCCATCCTTTTGCCTTGCTCTTCCATGCCCAGATCCGATCTTCAGTGCGATGTGCTATCTATCTCGACTCGCCCAAAAAGTCAGGGGAGCGCTCCACACTCACTCCAGCCGGAAAAAAGACTCACCACTCGCGCGGTCGCGGTGTGACTGTGACTCCCATTCGGTCTTTTCCCCCGCCCCCGGTCGGTCGGACGGCGGATCTGCGGACGAGGAACGATCGAACGCTTCTCGCGCCTTCCAACGCTTCTCCTGACTGTCCCAGTCCACCACCCAGCCAGGCGAGCCATTGAGCTCCGGCCGTGCCTGGAGAGGGTGCGAGTCTGAGGTCCAGGTGCCCTGAGAGACACAAGTCTCTACCAGTTTGTAGGCCTATAGGAGCCCACTTATATGATTCAATAGGCTAAATCCAGAACAAGCATTGTTTAGTTACAGATTTTGCCACTACAAAAGCAGGTCAACCATGGTCACCCACTCTTTATTTTGCTCCTGGAAGGTTATATAGGGTTATAGGGTCTATGTATGTTTCCAATTTTTGCCAAAGCTTCAAGGCTTCAAGGTCGGCCTTCTATCCCTTGATTCCTCTAGCATCTCTATCCCTCAAGCAAGACATATACACCCCACCTGCCGACCAACCCGACTCGTCGAGTCGTCCACCCGAACGGTCGAAAGCGGAAGAGACGGGCTCCTGGAACCCACCTCAGGGTAGGGACGGCTACCGGTCGGGTACCAAAAAGGAAACCAAAAACCACGGCGGAACGCACAGGTCCAGTCACAAACAGCCCAGTCAAACAGTGAAACCTCATGTTCTTCGTGCTTTTAGCTCACAAGGAGATAGTGAGGGACTTTTTAATGGCCCCGTAGACTGATCGATTTTCCGAGCCAAATCCAAGCAGTCAAAAAACTGGAGGTCGGTCCGAGTTGGTCTTCCATACATAAGGGGTCTCATGGGGTCAGTCTCAGTTCAGCACTGCAGAAGCGAAGGTAGTCTGTCCGGAGAATGCCCCAGAGCTTTTGATCGTTTTGGAAAACGATTCATCCCATTATATCACAAAATTGGATGACAAATTACCCCATATGTAAATCAATAAGATGGAAACTGACAGAACGGGCGGTCGATGAACTATATATATGAAACCATATGAAACCATCTATAATTAAAGCGTCTGCGAATTGGTCGAATTGCTTCTTTGTAAGAAGTTTCATGAAGCAAAGACCAATTGAAGCATCAACCAAACAACCAATTGGTCTTTGATTCTTTGTAAGTTATACCGTCTTTGCTTCTTCTCCCAACGGGTCCTTCAAGTCCTTCACTCGGACGCGGTCGCCCGCCACGAAGTCTTGCCTTGGGCGGAAAGGAAAGGACAGGCGGCCGCTGGGGTAGGTGGACGACTGGCTGGGCTTCAGATTGAGTGGATCCATCCCGGTACACTCCCTATGTGGTGATCCACGGCCACCTTCTGGCCTCCCCTGGAGAGTCCAAACACCTATATAAAGAGTATGTGGATCCCTTTGGATCTCTAGGACCTTGGCCCTTCCAATTGCAGATCCTCGGTTTTTCGGGATTTCCCCAAAGCATACACCTCTAACACCTTCTCAGATGGCAGACAGGCAAGCCCTCAACGCGAAGGTTCCTCTTCCCAGTCGACCCGGATTCGTCCCCCGGATTCGTCCGGGACCCGTGGGATGAAGGCTTCGGAACACCGAGATCGATCCAGCAAGTATGTTGGATGGGGCGCTTGGATGTGTTTGGTCAAGCTATCTAAGATACATCGTAAAAAAACACCCTTGTTCACGCGCCCATGCGGCAGAGAGGAGCTGCTGTTGGGTCCAAAGGAGGGGTATGGCCTTTGTGATGAAGAGATCCTTCAAGAAGGGCGACTTCTTTGTCATGTCTACTTCTACTTCCATCTGGAATGAGCAGCAGAACAAGTATTTATTGTTAAATATATTTACATATATGGGGTTTCATCATATGGATTCATTTGTCTCCCATTTACCGTGTGTATCTCTTTCTGGGCTCGTGTATCCTCAGTTCAGCAAAGAGCTCCAAAAGGAAACCAATCCATTAGATAGCTTTTCACCTCATCCTCCAAAGCTGAACAGAGTCAAAAGTTGGCAAACCCGTCAAACCCAAGATCCAGGACCTTCCAAGAGGTGTCTATAAATAGCCTCTTTGTGGTTAAGGGGTGTCCAAAAACCACCTGTTGGAAGTTCAACAAACCAGTTGAATCTCGTGTCCGAGGTCAACGGGTTTCTGCTCACGATCAAACGTCGACCTGACAGCAGCATGGACAAACTGGAGCCACCCTGTTTGCCGGGAGCAGGTCTTGGCCACGAGAAGCAACTTTGAAAGCTTAAGATGGATCATCCAAAGTGACACAGAAAATGATAGCTGTTCATCCGTGTTCCCTGGTTTAAAAGTGTGTGTAGAATCATAGAAACCACTCAGCCCCCCCCAAGCTCAGAAGTGATGGGAACATCAAGTCACTTCATCCAACAAGGGTTCCCTGCTTTTGTTGACTACCCAATTGGACACACAAGACCCAGCAGAAACCGAACCTGTCTTCACCATGCCCAAAGCATCTTCAATTCTAATATGGGGATGGAACGATCATGAACAATGAATCCCACCTCACTTGCCTCATGGCCTCATATGGCCTCACATGGCCTCATATGGCCTCTTGGCCCTGGCCCACGCTGCAGTCAAGACCTATGCTGCTTGGTGGCTTCAACTCACCAACGAAACACATAAGTCACAGTGAGTAAGTGGATGAAACATAATCACAAGTATATAAGTTTAAGGTTGAACATAATCCCTAGGCCTCCAAGTACCTTCTGAGAAGGTGGGACTGGGGTGGGTGCCAGGAGGGTCCAAATACCTTCTGAGGAGGTACTTGGAGGTGTAGGGAATAAACATATCATCAAACATATTAAACTACTCCCCTCTTTATTTGAAACCACCCACCCAGGCAAGACCTCCTGTTTCGCTGGGTCACGGTGGCTCCTTGACTGCTAGGAGGTTGCTCGATTTCAGCAACTTCCCAATCTGGTCGTCCAACATCACCTCTCGACATCTGCGGTGTTTCACCACCTTAGGGATCCACTGCCACCCTTTGAGAATGTTGGAGACACTGTTATGTGGGTGCGGCCTTCCATCCCTAGGGCCACGCTCGCGATCTCTGTTCGCGTTCTCTGGGCACGAGGCTCGCGGTATTCAATGAGTGGAGACTGACCCCCCGGCGCAACCCAAAAGTGGGTCGCAATCCCATGCAATACCCGCCTCAATACTCAGGCAACTTTTGCATCAAAAGTGGGGGTTTAGCTTGGAGGTTTCAACCCATCCCTTGAATCCCTTCGTGTCTAGGGGCGACGGTCTAGGACACACCTTCAGCATGACCAAGCTCATCATCATGGATCACAGAAACCACAGACTTCGTCACTGGCCTTCCATTGAAAACAATACCACCTGTCTTCTCCAAGCCAGAGGGTGCCCATGTCACCTCCTTTATAAAGGAAAGATTCGGAAAGATTGACACCATCTGCGGGCTGGCAGGGTCACATTTTGAGCGACACCCACATGATTAACATCCCCAGAAGGTCCTTTTATGAGTTACTATAGCTTCTTGTTACGTTCGTAGCAATGGCCTCCAACCTACTTGAAGCTTGGCCTCCACCGTGCTGATCGCATCCTTTTATAGCCCATCTGGCCTTCCATCGCTCCTCTGCTTCGTTCCATTCCACGATGCGTCCCAGGCCTCAGAGCCGCACGAGTTGTCGACCAAGACGAAAGCAGTTCAACCAGCTTTAATGGTTTCAACATGGTTTCAACCCACCTGAACAAGTATAACTATTTGCTGATTGATGGTGATTGTGATCCATGTCTCATATATGCATTGAGCACAGAAACTCATGATGTGACGCCACCCACCCCATCACTTTCCACTGTGTGTCCTTCTAAATGGACCATTTTGTGTTATCTCCCAAGCGGTGCTCTGGCCGTGCCACTCTCCGCTCACTGCTGAGGACTCTCTGCTGGGCGCCCCAAACGACCGTTGAGGTCTGGCCGTGCCTTCAAGTCCACGACTCTGACGCGTTGCCCCAGCTCCAGCGGGGCGACCGCGCCGGCGCTCGGTGACACGCCGGCGCTCGGCGACGACCTAGTCCAAGGCGTCGCCGTGAGGGTAAAGGAGTTGCGGTGAGCGTTGCGGTGAGCGTTGTGGGTGGCTTAGGTAGTGGCTGAGGTATTCTGGGGAGATCAAGATGGACATGAATTGGATATTCCGTGGAGATCGCGTCGTTCCTCTGAGTTTCACAAGGCGCGTGCAAATGGGTTGCGTCGGTGTAAGGCGCAGTTCAAACGTGGACAGTATCTGACAGTATGCATATATATATATATATATCAAAAAAACATATCAAATTATCATGTTATGTGCATGTTGATCACTTCAGAAGTGCTAGTTGGGTTCGTCATTTGCTGGTTTGAAACAAGAAGAACCAACCATGAAAAGGAACTGACTACACCCCGCCACAAAGCCTGTCTCAAATCTTATAAACCATGCAGCTTGGGCAACGACCTCGCACTACTTGGCAGCTGAGCTCATCGAGTCCGGCTCAAAGGTAAGCTGGGTAATGCAAAAATCATATACTAGGCCTCGAAGAGACCCACATGGAACCCCAAACCCACTTGGTTGCAGAGGAAAATGGTCTTCCATGGTCTTCCAGTCTGGTCCATGCCATCAGGTTCATTCAGGTTCCAATGTGGGTCTCTTGCCGGGTGTATTCCCTTAGTGTGCTTTCCCCGTCGACCGCACACCATCGGTGCCGGTGCCTCTCCTCTGGCCTCTCCTGCAGACCTGCGGCTTCGGGGGGGCCCAAGGTGCAAGGAAGACTGGCTTGAACAAGCCTCAGAACACGTACCTGTCACTTCATGTGCTGGGCAAAGGGTACCTCAGAGCACTCTCAGAACATCCCCTCACTTGCTGGGGGCCCCTTTTTCCCTCGAAAGCCATCCGCTCGCGAAAGGACCCTGGTCACCCTGGGTCGGACCAAAGCCAAGCCAAGGGAGTCGGACCAACCACTCAAAGCACCGAAAACGTAGGTCAGTGAAACAACACCCAGGTCTCCGACGCCCTCGTCCAACCCCACGAAACGAAGCTTTCAGCCCCATGCGTCATATGGTGTTAGGCTGGGAGGCGGCATTGGTCCAGGCCTGAGCTTCTTCTGTCTGGAGCTTCAACTTCTTCCACACCTGTGCTTCGAAGACGAAGCCAACCGATGGACATGACCAGGAAAAGCACAGAACTTCCATGGTCCAAACGCTTCCGAACTGGTCCAAACTGGTATTTGACTCCAGAGGCCCCATCCCCGGTGCTTCAAAGTGACCGAACGGTCAGATGCGAGGCCAGCTTCAGTGCCAGCTTCAGCCAACCCTCTTGGTGCCTAAAGGTATAGTGGGTGCTTTGAGCTGCTGTATTGCCTGTTCCCCGCCTGTTCCCGGTCTGTTCCCCGGTCAGCGTCTGAACGCTGACCGGGTCCCGAACGCTTGAGAGTGATTCTACGCCAAATGGCTGATAGATCTGGTGTTTTGCACTTGAATCAACTAACCAGCCCTAGGGATCCACATACCTTCTCAGGAGGTACTTGGATCCCTAGGGTAGGATTGTCATGTTCATCTGAATGGGCCTCCTACCCCCTCCTCATCCAGCCCCCCGGCTTCGTAGCTCGCTCGCTCCGCTCGCGCCTGGGGGAGCCGGCTCCATGCAGGGCTCCACGTTCGCGGGAAGGAACAGCTTCCCTGAGCCATCGTCCAAGTGCACCTGGCTGAAGATGACGCTCCCTGGAACTGGTTAAGTGGATGGCGTGGCCCGCTTTCGGAATTCGTCCAAGTGAAGTCTACGAACAGAATTCCTTCCAGTCAGAGTTGGGGGGCTAGCCCAGGCTAATAGAGTTGGTCTTGCCTCGCCTTTCATGTGTTCATGCATCGAAGACCGTCAAGCCCACCAAAAACACATTGATCGATGTCCAATGCTAACACCAAGAAGATGCAAGTCATCATCCGAAATCATAACCACTGCTAACTGTTTTCACCCGACATATATAATATAAGCTATTTGTCACACCCTCCGTCCCTCCGTTTCCTAGAAAAGGACTCTTGTAGACATCCCAGTAGGTGCAACGGTCCCAGCAAATCCCCTGGAGCTGAAAATGTTCCAACTTCTCCGGCAAGGTATGTACAAAGTTCCTTGAGCTATCATCAACCACATTGACATCATAACACTCATCATCGACAAACAATCACTCTAGGGTTCCAAGTACCTCCTCAGAAGGTCTTTGGACCTTCTAAGCCACTCCAATTGTATTTTTAGAATGTACTTGGAGCCCTAGGGTCAGGTGAGGCATCCACAAGTTTGGGCCAGGTTATTGTGTCGTTGATTTGTTATCCAGGCATCCATAATCCATGTGGCAAACAAGTTGGAGCGCTGGCCACGACAAAAAGAGTGCTTGCAGAAATGCCAAGCTTTCTATCGCGAAAGAAGACCGAGCAGGCACCTAACCAATTCTTCGTCCAGGGAAGAACTGGTCATGTCTGCTCTTGCAGACTGGGGTCCTGCACCCCACGGCTTGTGTGATAGTCCTCAAGATGCATTTGCTTGTTCTTTTATGTTCTTTTGATGATTTCACGAGTCACCAAAACTGGTGGCCCGAAATGTTCTGACTCTTAAGCTATCAACATAGGGGAGTATGATTATGTCATCCCCTTGAATCCTTGGAAAGAAAAACACACATGCAAACAAAACAGGTGTGCACGTTGAAAAAATAACAACTCCTCAAAACTCGAAACCATCCTCCCCAAAACCAAAAGCCCCCCGGTCGGTCGGGTGGACCTTCCAACGTTCCTGTACACCGTCCCAGGCGATGATGGTGCCGAGGATACCATTCAGAGCCGGCTGAGTCTGGCGATGTTCGTGGCGATGAGCGGCTGAGTGACCCATGTGAACCCCTATAGTGAAGGAAACATGGTGAAACATGCCAAACACTTGAGGATGAAGCTTCCGCTCGAGTCCGGACTGGGCACCACATCGAAATAGGCACACCATGGCACAAATTGGTGTCTTGGTGTCTTGGCGCGCCGCAAATTCACCCCCAAGCAGCGGCGAGGTTTCAGGGTTGAGGTTTTTGAGGTGGTCTCCATCGGCGGCCTCAGGCCTCGACTGGAGAAGGCGAAGCACACCCAGTAAAATCCTAGTCTTCCAATACATTTTAGCATCGGATCCACAGACCGGGCCTCAGGTACGGTGAGCAGGGAGACAGTCTTATGTAGGCGCCATTGTTGGGTCCAATTACCTTCTGAGAAGGTATGTGGATCCATAGGGCATGGAACTAGAAGGCGAACCACGTTGCACGTTGCATGTTCCATGTAAAGGTGGTTGTTGAGTCCCCCTTGAACCCGGGTCGACGTGAGTCTTCCAGACACGGAAGTACCGGGTATACGATGGTCTACGCCCTCCGGCACCCCGACATGGAGCTTCTGGACATCGGTGATCGCCCTAGACCTGCAGTAAAATGAGGTCATTGAGCGCTCAACGGATGTGTTTGGTCCGGAAGTCCAATTCAACATGGACGGTACCGGACGGTCACATTCCAACCAAAGACATCAGTTGACTAACAACATCTCAAGACTACCCGTGCAGGATCGATTTCCGTCACTGGCCCGCTGAAGCCGAAGCGGACGCTGAACCCGATCGCCGCCGGACCGACCCACCGCGGGCCGGCGACGCGCCGTTCTCGTGTGGAAAACCGCCCGCGACGAAACGATGGCGACGAAAGGAAGGCCGCGACGAAGCGATGGCGTCGCCTGAAGTCCGGTCACCCGCACGCGATCACGAGGCTTGAAGCGCCTGGTCTCGACGTGGAGAAGCCGATGAGATGTTCGCGGACCGTGGGAGCAAACAGCTACCCCGGGGGCCGACGCGGTGTTTGAACGAAGGAGTCTAGGCCCAAATGTGAAGGTCTTGATATGTATTTGTTATATGGACCTTCCAAACCCACCCCAGTCCCACCTTCTCAGAAGGAACGACTGGAGGCCTAGGGAGGTATTGTCTGATAGGGCCTCAGTCATGGCCTCAGTCATGGATCGTTTCGCATCGTCATAATGCTATTCTCAGTATCGGGAGAGCTTTGATTGAGTCCTCAAAAACACAGTGTTTATATACTCCGCGCATAATCGTTGTAAGATTCTAGTCCGGATGTGATGGAATCAGCAGCTGTGATGGAGTAGGCTGATGTAGCGTTCAGGGAACTGTTGGTGCGAAAACAAAGGGGTCCTGCACAACCATTTTTGATACATGGGGCCTCATGTGGCATCATCACTTCAAAACACAACTTTGCCAAAGCCATTGATTGTGAAATCATTTCATGGCGGCTCATAGCACGTCTATCTCCTGTTTGTCTGAGTGTTAAAACAATGTATGCAGGATTATCCAGGTATCCAGCAAAGAGCAAACACACACACAATCACACACACACACATGCACTGCATGTTTTGCTAAAAGCACAACATTGAATCAAACATCAGCATGTGAATGAACTCCCAGCGAATGCAACACTCGCAACACGCCCAAACCGCACCTGTCCACACGCTCCGCAGAAGCGCTTTTCACAACTGCGGCGCCATGCTGGAAGAACCCTCCCTTCCATTGCAAAAAAAAATATGCATGAACTTTCTGAACTCAACCTGTTGACAGGAAGGCCTGCTTTGTTGGTCAATATTAACTGACTTCGGATGAAACAATCAACGGCCTGGTTCTTCAATATTGACCGATCTTAATCCTGGTTGGTTCGGTCATTTGCACGGGGACTCCATTTGGAGGTCACAAATTGAAGAAGCCGGGAGTTTGGAATAAACAATCGCCCACATATATACATATATTAATCTGAGTTGTTAAAATGTTGGATTTTAGCAAAGAAACGGTCTTGGGTGGACTCCTCAAAACATCGTGGCGCCTTGGTCAATCCTTCCATATCCTTCCCGTTTGTCCGCTGAGTCAAGAACACCTCTGGTCGCAGCGGAATGTGTAAACAGCAAAACAACACACAAAGAACCGTAGTTCCTGCACGGTTCTAATTGCACTTAAAGCAACCCATATCAAACCATCAACTTACAAGTGTATATAAGGGTAAGTTTGGATTTTGTGTTGGAAACTTGCTTCGACTTTCCATCTTATCAGTCTCAACAAGTCGTCAGCAAAATCCCAGAAGTGGACATCATGTCCTGTTTGTAAAAGAACAAAAACACATCCAGGGTCCATGATGGTCCATGTATCCATTTCCATGTGATGTGTTCCTCAAAGGGTAGCCCAGTCGGCCGCAAGGGCCTCCACCGTCCTAGCGAAAAAGTCCCAACAACTTGAATCCATCTCAGCCTGCGGGCGGACTGACATCTTCTGGGCCTGCGAACGTGATGCTGCCGGGGAAAGCAACAATTCAGATGTCATCTGAGCTATAGGGCCAGTCTGCCTGCTCTTCTTCTCCCTACGACACCAGTACCGCCTGGATACTCGGGCTATGAGCACCAGTTCTCCGCTGGGGCGGCTCTTCGCTCGGGCTCTCGTCTTGTCGGCCGCTCGAACCGCCGTGCGAAGGACCCGGGTCCTTCGGACTCCAAGTTCTCCGTGCGCAGCATCTTGCCACTGCCATTGTCCAAACGCACCTGGCACCGGTGAGCTGCCAGCTTTGGGGTCCAGGTCAGACCTGGTCACAGGGTAGAACCTCATTAGAGTATAGTGTTATATTCAGAGATGATATGATAATATTATATTACTGTATATATATATATGATATGTATTGATATGTAAAATCACAAGCACCAGTAATAGGAGGTCTACAGGAACTGTAGGGTGATGAATGAACTCGGTCGAAGGTGACGAAAGAACCTCAGTTGAGGAGCTTCGTCTTCGAACCCGAAGAGCTGCATCAGTGCACGGTACGACATGACTTTTGGAGAATCAACATATGCTCTCCAAGGAACACTACCATGACCATGGAAGTAGAAAACCACTTGTTTGTATTGAAACATTCTCTTCCAGGGGCCTAGTTTCCACTTCAGTTTTTCAGGGAGCGTATATATATATATATATATATCAGTTCCTTCAAGTGCCCGTGCTTTTCAGGGAGCGTGTAGAGAACACCCCGTGCCCCTCCATCAGCCCTCCAGTTTGGAGACCAAACGGCTGAGAAAGTCTCCAACTGCGCAACGCAATTGGTCGGAAACCGCGGCGCGCGTGAGGGACCGACCCGCACGATGTCATGGCGGTCTTCGCAAAGAATCATTAAGATATATAAGTGATATTAAGTGTGTCACCGTATAAATTTTTAGGAATCCAGTCGTACCTTCTCAGGTGATTGGAGACACTCTTATGTATATAGGTTTTGAGGATCCAAGTATCTTCTGAGAAGGTACTTGGATCTTTAGGGAATTCAGAATCCGGGTCCTTAAATGGGAAGGGCCAGGGTTTGGTTCGGGTCTGGGAAACCGAATCCTTTCCCTACACCGCGGTGCATCTGATCCCCCGCGGAGGAGGGCGAGTGGTTTCAGTGCAGTGAGCCCATCACGTCTGATCCGTGAATTCCCATGAAGTATTGCGCAGATTTGAGGGTCCGAAACCCTACTATGGAGGATCCAGGGTAGTTACCAGAGTTGGAAGCCTCTCCTCAGTCAGCTTCCTCACCGCTCTCCTTCCAGGAGCGCCTTCCATCGCTCGGAGGCGTCCCACTCCAAGATGTGTCCACATAGACCATTGAGCTCGGTCTGAACCTCACCGGACGCGGCGCCTCGGGCGTTCTGAGCCCATCGCCAGTCACCTTCGTACTTTGATCGAGCGGTTGTTTTGGCACAGGTTCGGCGGTCGTGGGATTCCCATGACAAGGTTTGGTGGGAGAAAAAGCACAGTTCTTGAAGAACATCAGGTTTCAGCGGACCAGGCCATCCAGTGTCCATGTTTGTTGAGTAAAGGGCGAAGGCAACTGTGGTTTTTGGATGGCTGCCCTTGGAAGGGCAAGTTTGTTGGTGTACACCACCAATATGCCAGGAGAGACTTCCTTGCTTTCTGCTTTGCCCGAAGGTTTCTCAGCGAGTGTTCTATGACCTCACACATTCGCAAATGCGCTCCAGAATTGATCGGAAAGAGACGCCAGTCTGGAAAGCTGCTGGTGGAAGGCATAGGGGGAAACAAACACTCTATTAAACTATGTAGTCTATGTAGTGCAAATGTATATATACTGGCACTGTGCTTGTTGGATTGTGAAATCTGTCTGAACATGTGCCCCGGCTCTGACTACTTGGAGAAAACCACTGGCTGAGAACATCACCCGAACGATCCGCTGAGAACATCACTCTAAGGATCCGGACCCGTAAAAACTATGCTTTTGAGGTTACAAAGTCACCCCTGTAGACGGATTGAACCCCCGACTATGGAGCGTCCCCTTGGACCCGAGGCGCCTTAGACTGGTCCGAAATTCCGGACTCGGTCGCTGCGCCTGAAGCCCCGTCACTCGTACGCGATCCCCTGGTTTCCAAGGCCTGAGGACGTGACCAGGGCGAAAACCATGGAGCAAGGACAATCCCTAGGGCTCCAAGTACCTTCTACCTTCGTTTCGAAGGTGGGACTGGGGTGGGTGCCAGTCCAGTCATACCTCATGGGAACCTGCTGTGCATGAAGCCCGTGGGGATAAATGGTGACCGCCCTGGAGCCCTGGTCCTGTCCACCATGTAGTGAAGTACCTCCCAGGTAGGGAAAAACCGGTCAAAAACTCCCGGTGCCATGACCCAGTTCAAGTCATGTACAGTACAGTTTCCTTGCCAGTCGCAGGTGTTAGGAGCTCTCACAAATTAATTTGGGGGGTGCATTCCTTGTGCCGAACCCCTACTTTCAGACCTTCAGCACGGGTGCGAGATGCTCGCAAAACTGCCAGGGACTAGCCATGGTGTACATTCCAAGAGAGTTATTTTTCCACGGCCCTATATATCGCCCATCCCATATGTACCACCACAGGACCCCAGTTCTGGTCTCTCAACCTCTCTTGGTTGAACCCTTGATCCAAGGAACATGGAAGTGGAACATGGCCCCGAACGGAAGGCTGGTTTTCTCGACGAGCACAGGTCATCTTTCACATCCATGATTGTTGCTGGGAGGGTACGTGTTTTGGTTGTCCTTATCTCTGCTGGTGGAGAATTTCTGTGCCCGTAGCAGTCCATAACTCGCCTGTCCTCTCCAGAGGGCAAAGCTAACCATCAGTGTGGGTGATGTTACCTCTTCTGAAGACTGCTGCTTCTGAAGATTCTACTAACGGAACATGAAATGCATGAAGCAACCCAAGAACAAAGCCCAAGCATGCCCGGGACACTTGCCCCCCTTTGCTTCATTTGGTGGGATGTTTGCACAGTTGATCTGAGGATTTGTTGAAGTGTGTCAGCCTGTGTCAGCGATCTCATCATAGCCCTTCTCCATCTTAGCCTCTTGGATGTTCTTTCATTGTTGTTGCTGTGTTGGATGACAGACCTGGCCAGACCGCTTGCAGGATCTTGCCTTGCGATGTCTTTGACCTTCTTGCGCTGTCCTGGCTTTCTTTGCCCCCTTTTGGAGGAAACATGAAGACCAACATGAAGAGCGCAACGATTGTGCCTTCTGCTTGCGATTCTATAGACCAAACATTCGTTTCCGAAACAGTGTTCTTAAAGCTCAAGAGTCCAACAGTGGACACCTGCAGATCCTTCTACGCCGAGATGTTGGAAAGGGCGCGGCCGATGCGCGTTGCTCGCAAAACAGCCATGGACTAGCCATGGTGTACATTCCAAGAGAGTGATTTTTTCCACGGCCCTATATATCGCCCATCCCATATGTACCACTTCCATGCAGAGTCCTAATCAGTTCTGGTCTCTCAACCTCTCTTGGTTGGTGTACCCTCCATCTAAGGAACATGGCAGTGAAACGAACAGCCCCGATTTCAGAAGGCTGTTTTTCTCCACACCGTGCAGGTCTCACTTGGAGGCCAGGTGTTTTCCTCGACGCCGTCAGTCGTGGAAATTCCGGTGTTCCAACTGTTCCATCTGTCGCGCCACATCCAGCCTGTGGTGGTTGGAACGTGATATTGTTAGCGTTCCTTCATGATATTGGCGTTCCTTCCTTCTGACCAGCCGAGATCTCTCGCAACATGAAGAGGTTTCTGGTCTCGTAGGGTGGTTTTGTTCACCCACTCGAGCTGCAGCCACGGTGGTGTTCTCGTTCTCCGGCAAGGTCTATGTAGCAAAGACCGGATCTCTGCTGCCATGGGGCCAGAACCGACCCTTGTCGCATGGACATAGGCCCCTCAAACCCTAGGGCTGCTGTACCATATCCTCAGGTTCCGTGGTTAGACCCCCCTGGCACCCACCCCAACCATCTTCTCAGGAGGTAGGGGAGGAGCCGTAGGGTGCTGTACCATCAGTCCGTTGAAGATGCTTGTTGACTCCGAAGCCGCTTCAGCAGCTCCTCCATCACCGAGACCCTACGCAGACCGTATGGAGCTGCTCTGTCCAATGGCTTGGACGTGCTTTTGTCGGCATTAAAAGGCTCCAAAGCCTTGCCCTACACCTCCAAGTACCTCCTCAGAAGGTATCTGGACCCTCCAAACCCACCCCAAACACCTTCTCAGAAGGTACTTGGAGGCCTAGGGTTGTCAAGCGGATGTGACGGACAGTTGAACAGAATGGTGTAAGTCTACGTATGTGAAAGGAAGTCGTTGGCATTGGGTTCGATTCAACTGAGGGATCCTCAACTGTGATGAACATTTTTGGCTGAATGTCCTTAGACGTGACCAGGATTTTTTTACGTCAAACCTCTACAGTAGATATATAGGTTGAGAAGGGTTTCAGTGGATTTTCATAACCACTGCTCCCCAAACAATCTACTTGTACAACCCAAACACTGAGGTGTCGGAAAGCTGTTCATTTTTTTACATGTCCTGCCTCACTGACTCACCTCTTTTAGGTTGAAACAAAGAAACAGTCTTCCTAGGGATCCAAGTACCTTCTCAGAAGATGATTGGAGACACGGTTATGTAGGTGCCAGGAGGCTCCAGTCGTACCGAACCTGAGAAGGTACTTGGATCCCCAGGGTTGGTCTTTCTTATATATGTGATTTCGCTCTGCCTCTCATCCGAGTCTTGAGGTTCCGGTTCCACGAAGGTGTCTCCTGGGATCAACACGTTGGGATCAACACGGCAGGAGAGACAATCACATGGGAGCCAGCAAACACATTGCTTGGTAGAGCTCCAGTCGTACCTCCAAACCGGTTCGGTATGACTGGACCCGACCCTGGAAGCTACGACTGGAGGCCAAACGGAATTGGAACATATTCGTTGCAGGGGTCCATTGTCCGCATGTAACTGTGAGTCTACTGGAACCAGGCACGGCACGCTGTTGATATGTAAATCCTGTGCAGGTGCTGCACAAAACACGGTAGAACAATCCAGTTACCCAACGAAATAATGCAGGGTTGAATCCCTCAAGAGTAACCGCTCCTTGTTTCCAATTGAGTATCCACCTTCTCCACGGTGCTCGTTTTTCTTGTTTATTGTTTCGTTGAAGTTCCATCGGAGGAGGTTTTTCACCTTCACCGAGGTCATAAACTGTTTCCACCATGTGCTTTACCACCATCAGGTGTGTCTTAAAAGTAGGAAGACCCCGGCCCCCTCGCCCGTTGGCGGGGATCGAACTAAGTCCATGTTGGGATCGAACTGTGAGAGTCTCACACCACGAGAGTTGGACCTGGGTCGTGAGACGTGCCGTCCAACTCCAAACGTTCAATCATGCGCATGATACCTAGGGCTCCGAACGCCCCATATCCTCAGGTTCGGTGGAATTCGATCCCCCTGGTACCCACCCCAACCATCTTCGAAACGAAGGTAGGGCAGGAGCCCAAGGGTATACCAAAGCCCACCAGGAGTGCGATTCATGGACCACCCCTTCCCCTCTAATCAGGGGTACCCAGTAGTCGACACACCCCGCAGGCGCGAAGACTCTTTCCTTCCAATAAATGTCCCGAGTGTTTGTTTTGCCATGATACCCACCGAAAAATGACTCATGAGCCATGTGCACTCCAAACTACATGGGCATGCGGCCTGCGCACTTATATATTCAGAAGGGATTGTCATGGGGGGTGGGTTTTTAATTCATAGGTTTTTCAATCATTTTCTAGTTAAGGAACATGAAAAGCCTGCAGAGGATCAAAAAAAACAAGAAACAATTTTCTGAGACTTTCGACGAAAATAGAGAAGTCTGCAGAGGACCAAAAAAAACAAAAAAACCAAAAAAA